GTGTAGTTCGGGACCGCCATGAACTTGGTGTAGCACAGACGTCCCAGGATAGCGTGGTAGGTCCCCTTGAATCCAACTACCTCGAAGGTAAGGATCTCCTTGCGGTAGTTGGAAGGGGTGCCAAAATAGACCAGCAGATCAATGCGTCCGAGGGGTCGCGCGCGCTTCCCTGGCATGACGCCGTGGAAGGGTGCGGCACCCCCTCGGAGCATCGACTGGTCGAGCTCTAGGAGCTCCATGGTGTTGGTGTAGAGGATGTTGAGGCCGCTACCTCCGTCCATTAGCACTTTGGTGAGCTGGGTGTTGCCGATAATCAGGTTGACGACGAGTGGGTATTGCCCAGGGTTTGGGACATAGTTGGAGTGGTCTTCCCGATCAAAGGTGATTGCCTCCCGAGACCAGTTAAGGTACTGGGGAGTAGCTACCTCAACTGAGAAGACCTCCCAGCGTTCCCTCTTTCGTTGACGCGCCATGAGGCACGCTGAAGGCCCGCCGAAGATCATGAAGGCATTGTGCACCTCAGGGAACCCGTCGTCCTTGTCATTGTCTCTGTCGCCGGCGCCCTTCTTCCTGGCGTTGTCGTCGGGAAGTCCGAGCTTGGCGTAGTAGCGTCGGAGCATGGTGCATTCTTTGAGGGTGTGCTTTACCAGGCCTTGGTGGTAAGGGCACGGCTTCTTGAGCATATCGTCGAATAGTCCAGGGCCTCTGGTGGGGCCTCGGGGATTCCTACGATCTGCGGCTATGACAAAATCGGCATTGAGGGCCTCTTGCTTCTCCTGGCGCCCCTTTTTCTTTTTCTTGGAGAAACAGGAGGCCGAGGCCCCGGAGGCCTCGTCCCTCCGCTTCCCCTTTGCTTCGCTGTCGAGGAAGATGGCCCCGACAGCTTCTTCGCCCGAGGCAAAGTTGGTGGCGATGTCGAGGAGCACGGCCGCCGAGGTTGGTACGTTTCGGCCTAACTCTCGGACCAGGTCTCGGCAGGAGGTGCCAGAGAGGAAAGCCTGGACAACTTCTGAGTCACCGACGCTAGGCAACTCGGTGCGCTGCTTGGAAAAGCGCCAGATGAAGTCTTGCAGAGACTCGTCCGGCTTCGGGCGACAACTCTTGAGGTCCCAGGAGTTCCCGGGGCGCACGTATGTGCCCTGGAAATTCCTGACGAAGACCTTGACCAAGTCGCGCTAGTTGTGAATCTATGAGGGAGGTAGGTGTTCGAGCCAGGCTCGCGCCAAGTCTGACAGGAACAAGGGGAGGTTATGGATGATGAGCAGGTCATCGTTCGCGCCACCTAGCTGACAAGCCAGGCGGTAATCGGCCAGCCATAGCTCGGGGTTGGTCTCACCACTGTACTTCATGAGATTGGCCTGTTGCCGGAACCGGGCAGGGAATGGAGCGCCACAGATGGCCTTGCTGAAGACTCTAGGGCCAGGCGGCCCTAGAGAAGGACTGCGGTCCTCCCCACTGTCATAGCAGCCACCTCGGTGTGGGTGGTAGCCTCGGGCGAGCCCGTCGTTGTCATGGCGCCATCGCCTACTGACCACATCGTGGTCCTCTTGCGCCTCGCGTCGGTCGCTGAGGCGGTCGTGGACTGAGGGGGCCTTGAGGCGATCATGCACCGAGGGCCGCTTCGAGATGTTCTCATGTCGCCAAGACATGGAGCTTTCGGCCTGCTATACTGCAGCGGTTTCAAGAAGGTCTCGGAGCTCGCCGCGGACCCGTCGCCCCTCCGTGGTAGAGGGCTCGGGCATCGCTCGGACTAGCATCGCTGTTGCCACGATGTTCTAGCTAGCGCAATTGAAGATTGGGGGTTGCTCACTTCCTTCATCGTTGTTGATGCAGCGGTGCATGTCGTGGGCCCTATGCCGGGCCCCTCCGCCATCACCGCGGCCTCGCTGCTCCTGCTCGAGAGTGTCTCGGAGCTGCTATAGCAGGAGTCGATCTTGGTCGACTTTAGCCTAGAGCTCGTGGAGCTGCTCTAGGTCCAGGCGTCGGAGATCCTCGGGGGCGACGTTCACGTTCCGCGCCGCCCGGAGCTCGACGAGCGAAGGTGGCGTCGCCCGCCCCTTGGCGGAGCGGGGAGCGGTTGGCTGCCCTCTCACCCTCATTACTTGCCCCTGGCATTCCGAGCTCGACGTGGAAACACTCTCGAGTGGGATCGTAAGTGCTTTCGTCATCGGAGTCGGAGTAGCCGAAGCAGTAGTCGTTTGCGGCCAAGAAGCGGCGCATAGCCTCGGGGTCATGAAGCCCGGAGAAGTCCGCTCCAGCCCATGCCTCATCCTCCTCTGAGGAGTCAGTGTGGGTGTGGGTCGAGATTGTGGTGGAGAATCGTTGGTGGTGTCCCGAGGGCTCCACGTGCGTGGAGGCGTAAGCGAAAGCATAAGCGGCGGCGATGTTTTTCAGCCCAAAGGGGTACGGGGATGGTGCCACCGCTGGGTTCTGCTCTGCCTGAGTTGATTCCTCAGGATGTGGCGGGGCAGAGCTTGACGACGGGATGTCGCTGCGCGCTACCGACGTCCTTCCCCGCCTGAGCTTAGGCTAGACAGCCCTGACCCGTGGACTCTGTACTGCTTGATCGGGCATGGGATGTCGGCGGAGTGCGGCGCGCAGCGCTGAGCTCGCGTGGCGTCGGAGTAGTCCCGCTCGCGTCGTGCCTAGCGAGCATGACGAGAGCGGCGGCCCGGGCGCCGCCTGCGCCCAGGTTGCTGATGCGTGACGTCATCGTTGGCCGGTGGGGCTCTGGGTGTGAGGAGTACCATATCAGATTCACATCCTAGAGACATGAATTCTAGGCTCCCAAACCAGACCACCGTGCCGAGACGTAGTGGGCGTATGGGGTCAGCCATCCGGAACTTGTTGGGACAATCACGTTAACACGTAGAGGCCCCTACCTGGCGCGCCAACTATCGGTGTTTCGGACTGGGGGGGGGTCCTCACCAACCAGTAAAAGTGAACTGCGTGCCCCTAATCCCGGATGGTGATGCAAAGAGACACAGGGTTTATACTGGTTCAGGCAATTGGTGCCCTATGTCCAGTCTAAGAGATCGGTCTTGTATTCCTTGCACCGAAGTGCTTGTAGTAGGAGGTTACAAGCTAGGTGAGAGAGGGAGCTAGTCCCAGGTCTCGGCGTGGAACGATGCGAGGTGCTTGAGACGCTGCTCTCAAGCAGCTTGGGAGCGTTGATGTTACAGGATGTGTCTAGGGCGCATATGGGAGCGCGGTTCTATCGTATGTTCTTCTTCTTCCTCCCCCGAGCTATCCCTGGCCGCTTCCTTTTATAACCGTAAGGAAGGAGCCAGGAGTACATGACTGAGCTACACGTGGAGCCTACTGCAGTTTAGTCCTGTAGCAGCATGGCGTTGGGGATGGAGATCGGTACTTGTCTGGTGCGCCGTGCTGGTCAGGTTTGAAGTGGTTGAGGTCGTGGGGGTCCTTGTCGATGTCTAGTCAGTATGACTTCCACGGCCGGAGACATGCCATGCTTTGGTGGACTCTTGACCTGGTGGAGTGCCGAGGCCTGGCAGGTTGTAGCTAACCGCGCCGAGGCCTGATTTGCCGAGGCCCTGGCGGGTGTTTGTAGCTGACCGCGCTGAGGCCTGATTTGCCGAGGCCCTGGAGGGAGCAGTTGGGCCTATGCACTGATTCTGAGGCTATAGTGACCCGGTTGAGGTGGAAAAGTGCAGGGCATGGTATCCCCTGCACCGTCAGTAGGGGACGGTAAAAAGGAGATTTGACCGCCGTCCCATCGCCCCTGTTGCTATACCCTGCCAATCGTGGCTGACGTAGGTGTAACCAAGGGTACTTACACGGATGGGACAGCCCGCCAGAGGGGCGGTTGAGGCGGAGATGACGAGGATGCGGGACGAGCCCGACCTCGGTCGAGGCGGAGAAGGAACAGTATGTCCGAGGCCCTAACGGGGGGTCTCGGACGAGGCGGAGAACGAGCAGTTGGGCTCTCCCGCTGTTGCTGAGACTATAGGGACCTGGACTTGACCTTCCACGCCGCTTTGTCCTTGGCGCAGGGGTTAGGTAGCACAGGGCAGTACGGGTGTCAGTAGGGAGCACAGTGATGAGCATAGTGGCAGGTAACCCCTGCTGCGCCCGGTCCCCTGTCCCGTCAATCGTTCTACCCATACTGTACCCGCGTGCGGCTGACGTTTGCGGGAGTAGTTGGGCGCATTAATCCGGACGTGACGTTTTGTCAGAGGAGTTCGGTCGGGACGGAAGTTACGAGTTTGTTTTGCCGAGCCCGGCCTCGAGCGAATCGGAGAATTGGCATCCCGTCCGAGGCCTTTCGGGGCGGGGCCTCGGCGAGAGGGCCTCGGCGGGGTGGGGAGCTTTTGGTCTTTCGCCTGAGGCCTCGGCGCAAGGCCTCGGGCGAATTGGAGAATCTATTGAGATCTCGTGGTTTGATTTTTGCAAGGTTTAAGCAATATTTTTGGTTCTTGCTTAGGGTACCCCTTCTTGTGGTATCCGACAATTAGTATCCTTGTTGTAGTGACAAAAATAGCTCAACAAATGTACATTATAGCAATATGATTATTTCAAATCCGCACCAATAATATTTATTTCAATAATTCAAATTTGGCATTCAAGCATTACATAAAACTAACACTCAAACCTCAAAATAACTCTATTGACACTATTTTAAAGTCTCACAATAATTATTCAACTAAAGTGTTTAAACTCTAAGATGTTGGAGGCTGCGAGGCACCAATGCGTGCAATTAATTCAGCCATTTGATGATCAAGTTGTTCTCTCACTAGGCGAGCAACTTCTTCACTCTGTGCTTGATGCAAAGAACTCAGCTCATTACGTTGGGATTGCTGCTCTTCTTGCAGTTGTGCATTTGTTTTGACCACCGTGGAAACTTGGCTTTCCAAAGCTTGTGCTCGTTGCTCAGCAGCCTCAGCACGTTGCTCAGCAGCATCTGCACGTGCTCGAGCTGCAACTTCACGCTGTTCAGAAGCCTCAATTTGCGCCTACAATCTCATTCTTTCCTCAGCCAATCAGTTTACAGCACGAATGCCAACACCACGTGAATGGTTTAGCTTTTGACCAAGAACTAGTGCAAAGTGCTCCACTATTAGCACGGGCGTAGAAGAAATCTTTTCTTGATGTATCCCAGCAGCTTCATGTAGTTTAGTCTGCAAAGCATGAAAAATAAACTAATTAAGAACTCATATACTACACAGCAGGCAAAAGCGTTCATATAATGAATCATAGGTATGAGCACAAATTAGCTATAGGATAGTGTAACATCCAAATGTTCTCAGAGTTGCTACTGTTTAAAAAAATATGCAAACATGTTATCTAATAATTGAAAATTGCAGACAAATTAAATAATATATGAAATTTACAAACAACTTAATAAAACGATATTGTTCATGATTAGAGATACCGCAAACATTTCATAGTGCCTAGACTTTTCAACTCATTAAATGAACAATACAAAGACTACATTACAGAGATAATAACCATGAAAGAGTCATACATAATTCTACCATCATACTTTTTCATACAAAAAACACACCACTTCCACCTAACCCTAGTTTAAAAGGTAGGATACAAATTGACAAATGTGAAACCCAAAGATGCCATCAGAAAGGGAAGTAATATGGTCATACCATTATTTCTTCACCCGTTGGAATGGGCCATGTCCCATCAGCCTTTTGATATGTAGCCCTCCAAACTTGCATAGCAGTAGGCCATTCACCAGTTTCTGGGTCTCGCTGCATTGGAATAACAAAAGCATATATTCACTAATTCAGAACGATGTGTAATAGAAAAAAATATGCCTGGTAATTGTTTTCCTCACCAGATCGTAAGCGATTTGAGCAATTGATCTAGTTCCTACTTTGGACCCCATCTCTTGCTTTCCTGGTTGCTCCTTTTCTGGTTTACAAATTGCATAAATGTATCATTAACAATTATGCAGCAATGTAATTTAGGACATGAGTTGCATGTACATGAAAATCATCATTCGTCCACAAATTCCTTATCAACCATTGCCAACCTTCTGGTGAGACATGTTGTGGCCTTGGCTTGTTGTTTCGGTAAGTTTGAAGTAGACGGTAACGCTAATTATTATATTGACTCTCTACTTGTCTCATGGCACTTTTGCTGTACAGCAAAGATATATTGTAATAACCAGCCACTGAATGCAATAATAACCTATGCATGCCAAATATATTCATTTCAAAAGAAAAGTAGCACACCTTTAGTTTTCTCCAAACAGATGCGGTAGTACCAGGATGAAACTTATCCATGTCCCTCCACTTCTTCACTTGGAGTGGTACAGTTCTGGGGTACAGTTCTTACCAGAACTGTTATCTCACTTTTAAATAAACTAGCATGTTCTCCACACACTTTTGCAAATTCTTTAGGGAACTTTATATCAATATGCTTTCCTTTTGCTCTTCTCTTGCGAAGTTGATCATTAATTGTAACTTTTCTACCACTCTTCTTAGCAGGGTCTAGTTAATATTGGGGGAAAACAACAATAACTAAATGTAATATTTCATATTTGTATTCTGTAGTGTACATAAACAAATTTCAGATAGTATAACAGAGCCTAGCTAACTTACTGAAAGAGATTCTAGGTAATTTAGCGAACTGACAAACAGACGCTGCCCATCCGACACGAACCATCAACGCCGTGATCCACGAGGCTGCGAGGCTGCGCATCGGTGGTGACAGTGGAGGTCTAACCCAGTGAGGCGAGCTCAGGCAGCAGGCGTGCTGCGGTTGGGCAGCGAAGGAAAACGGCCTTGCTAGTGCATACGTTCGCTGTCTTTTTGTCAGATTCGAGCATAAGTGAGCAGGTACTATTTTCTGTTTGTTAAATTAATGGTTATTTTAGTCATGCGACCAATTGGTTAATTTAGCCGTGCGACCTGTTGTTGCTTCATTGCTCTGTACTTTTATTTTTCAATTGCTTCATTCATTAACTGTCTTATTACTCCATATTCTGCAAACTAATGAAAAACCTGTAGTCATATAGAAACAACCTATATTTCTAACTTCTTTTGTAGCAAAAAGCAACAAAATAGTCCTCCTTTTAGCTTTCCTTTCATTTGCACTCTTTTACATGATAAGATCCACCACATACATGGCTAATGTGGTTTTATGGATGACGGTTATCTGTCATTTTTATTGATGAAGAAGATGTCACTACTAAATCAAGTAAATCCAGTGTGGCGCACGGGAGGCTGGAATCGGGGCGTTGCCGTGGCAGTCTGGTGGAGCGAAGGTGCAGCATGCCGGTGATGGATTTGGAGTGGTGCTCACGTGTCTGACAACGTGGTGCCCGTGTATTGTGTGTTTATAAGAATCGAAGAAGAAAAAGATAGACTTGACTAACACGTGGATCCATCTTAAATAGCTTCCATATGTTACGTGTGTTTAATGAATTAGATTGGATACATGTATTAATAAGGAGCTGATGCATTGGCCCTATTTTAATTAAGCTAGTTAGTCGTAACTATGATTTACCATAATATTTTTCTCATTAATTGTGTGTCCTGTGGTGATATTTTTTTCCACTAATAAATGTCATATTAGTGAGGTAAATATTTTTTGCCACAAATATCTTGTTAAATAGTGGCAAAACATTGTTTCACCACTCAATTTGCCACTCAAGATGCTTTCTGTGGCGAATTAATATTTTGTCACTAATAAGCAACATAAGAGTGGTGAAAGCTAGTTTTTTTCACAGATAGTATGGCAAGTAGTGGCAAATTTAAATCTCGCCATAATATTTTCTCACTAATTGTGTGTCCTTCAACGATAATTTATTTTGCCACTAATAAATGTCATATCAGTGGGGTAAATATTCTTTTGCCACATATATCATGTTAAATAGTGGCAACATAATGTTTTGCCACTTGATTTGCCACTAAAGATGTTTTCTGTGGCAAATTAATACTTTGTCACTAATAACCAACATAATAGTGAGGAAAACTAGGTTTGTCACAAATAGTATGAGCATTAGTGGCAAAGATAAATTTCGCCACATCATTTTATCACTAATGCTCCATCTTCCTGTAGTGATCTTCCCTCACCAGCATGTAGGCTATCAACCAATCCTTGGTAGAGGTCAGCCCTAATCTCTGTTTGATGATTGCGTATGTAATCCAATCAAGAACTCTCAATTTTGATGTACATGTCCACCGCAAACTGTTGAAAAAGATGCTTGCCATAAAGTATGGGATTAAAGATTCCTGGCCGTATCTAGAACTTGTAGCAGTAATAGTCACGTACAGAAACACATAAATTTCTCGGAGAGTCTACAAAAAAACTATGGTATTAGAGGTGTTTCTAGGATATAGGTTTGATATTCATGAAAAGTATAAGATATACAAACCTGTTTCTTCTTCTTCTGTACCACTACGAGCCTTACGCAAGGCACGAGCTGTGTTGACATCCTCCATAGTAACACCTTTGTTTTGGATATCCATATGCCATCCAAGCTCACCACTAGGGAAGAAGAATGGGTATGAAAGAGCATCATAGCATCCATGGTATGATCGGATGCCATGCCTGCTCCTATCTTTCCAATGCAGGACAACACTATTCTGAAATTGACCAAGGAGTTCACTACCCTCGATCCAAATAGCAGCCACCTCCAAAGCCATCGGCACATTGTATGTCCTTTGGTCCAATCGCTGATCAAGGTTAAGTGTGAGACGATAGTCCTCGAGTTGTTTAGCCTGCCCCTACTCCTCAAATGTTTTGAGTACGGGTTGTCACGAAGGATGGCCACCAATCTCTCTATAACTTCTTTATCTTTTTGGTACTGCTCTTCATGACACCTTCGGTACCGGTGCTCAAGGCTCGAATCGTCATCATAGAAGTAAAGCTCAAGATGTCTGGGCGCTTTACCATCTTCTCTCCCAAATGACCTTATGTTGTGATAGATCATGCCATGTGCACGGAAGGTATATATGCCGCTGTTTTTGATGTTAGCAATAGCACTGTCGAGGCAACAGTTGTAACACCTCTGGTGTTACGAGCTCGTTAAGCACTGGGATTATGGCCTGAGAGGTAGATCTATAAATATAGTAAGTTAGTTTACTTTAATGTGCTAATGAAAACCTAACAAGTTAAAACGCATATGATAGGAAAAATAAATTATGCAAATAAAAACAAAATATAACTGGTGTATAGCGCTTAGGTAGAAATGATGAGCAATGGGGTAGATAACCTTTTGTAACTTTAGATGGTTGATATATATTAAAAAATGTGTGTTGAATGAGAAGCTATTACACCACTCATGAATATCAAGTAGGGTTTAAGGCTAATTTTTATTGGACAAAATACTATGAAACTTATACGTGGCACTGAAATAAAGTTCGGAGTAGGAACCATGTAGATAGCAATGAAATACTCGCGGTGGGAAAATGACATTGCTAGCTAACATTTCTACTAGCATATAAATGCAACTTGGAAATCAAGTTTAGTCAAGACTTGAGAGATTTTCAAGTTTGAAAACAGTGCGACAATGCTATGTTAGCCAATTAATTCCACGCAATTTAGCTAGACAGTGGTGCCATGTTTCAGCTCTAGTTGGTAGCTCGAGGCGCCCTCCTTAGCATGGTGTAGGTAGTTTGGTTCTGAACTCGATGGTTTAGTTTATAGGGACGCTTTAAAATTCATGCATGACATTCCCTTGGGCTGGCCGGTCTCGTGTGCGCGGTCACCGGGCTCGGGTGAGTGGCGTCACGCGGGGGTGCTTGTGCCGTCGCCTGTGCACACACGTGTGACCCTATCGGTGGTGGTCTCATCGCCACCGTGTTGTGCGTTGGACCGAGTCGGTCGCAACCATCTCGTGTCGAGCCGTGCCTTGGCCTCGGGTACACGCGCGCGCTGCGCCATGGCCATGGCTATGGCTGCGCCGTGGGCCGGTCTCGGTTGCTGCGAATCGCGTGCGCATGGGGCTAGGCAGGCTACAGCCATGTTTCACATGGCCGTGCTAGGTCATGGGACCGCGGTGGCATGGCCGTCGTGCGCACGTTGCCAGTTAGGAGGTGCCAAGCCAGGCCGGGGCCGCTGACGCCGCTGCATGACCAACTTGGTGCCCGTTGCACCACGCAATTCACCTGCCCGCCTTAGCGCTCCTACCCAGCTGTCTCGTCGCACTGCTGCTTGTTGCGGACTCGCTGCACCCCTACGGTGTCGTTGCATCGACACCGCACGACCACTGCGTTATTACTGCTCGTCCGCGTCCCACCATGAGTCGAGCCGTTCCATCTCGGTGTCCCACAACAATGTCCCTCTGAACCTCACCGAGCGGATGCTCCCGTTCATTTAACGCAGCCTTGGTCGAGGCTGTCCGGGCCTTGTAGCCGCTGCTCTGTCTATCTTACCATCACCGGAGCCACGCGACTTTGCAATTTCACGCATGGTCATGGGTTCTCCCCTGATTCAGCACTCCTGCAGCTTGATAGGGCATCCAGCTAGCTGACCCAATCGCACCTAGGCGCCGGTGAACTTGGGAGGTGGCCAATTTGGCATTTTGGTCGTCGCCGGCCATGGGTGCCGCCGCAGCAGAGGGGTTTGGGGTAAGTCCCACTTCTTGGGGAATGAACCTAATTGATGGTGTTTCTGGGCTGGTGTTGATCCCCTCGATCCGAAGCTCACTTCCGTTTGGCCAGGGCGTGCATTGTTGATGTGCTGACGCGTCGGTGTTGGCCTTGGAGCGCCTCCGCGCGGTGTGAGCGTATATGGCCAGGGTTCCTCGATCGCCTTCCTCCTCAGCTGATTGCGCGACTGGTTTCATGGTAATCCCCTTTTGCTTCCCCATAGCCTCCATCGTTTCGCTAGCTCTTAGTTCTGTCAGAACGGGCACGCCATCGTGGAGGTTACTCCGTCAGCGTGGACGACGCATAGAAGTCATCGTTTAGCTTCTGGTCGCCGCTTAGGGTCCCGCGCTGGCTCCGCAATGCTCATTGGCCCGGTGGGTGCGTCGATGTGGCTCCTGGTGGGCCGCCATGGCCAGGCGGTGTTGGCCGGAGCCGCGCCGCCATGCGTGGAGGCGTTGGGGAACGACTCAATGTGAAGATAGGTTTGTTGGGGGTGCTCATTGCATAGAGTTTCCCTAGTGCAATAGTACACAGTGGCGTCGCATAATATCCGGTCAGGCCAGGGGCTATTTTGTTAAAACACGGGCGCGTGCGCGGGCTTCCCCGTCTTGGGCTGCTGCTGCGCGCGCCACGCTCCGAATGGGCCGCTGGGCCAAATTGCTGTCACCATCCTTTTCTTTTTCTAAAAGGGTTTTAAATTGGTTTCTAAGGAGAAACTTGTAATTCAATATCAATTTGTATAGCTGACCAAAAATTGCGAAACCAATTTTGTTAGGTTCCTAAAATCATGACCTATCTGATAATGTATTTTGTTCATTTAGTTTCATAGAATTTTCTAGAGTAGACTAATTAAATTGAAGCACTTTAAATGGGTAAAACAAGAACTTGTAGGAATTATTGTGATGAATTGATAGGACTGGCCCTAAAATTTTTACAGTAGATTCCTAGCAATATTAGGTGCTCACTGTAATTTTTGTAGCTCCATAGAAATTAGTTGTTAAGGTAATTAAATGAGCCCTAGTTCAAATATATGTGTATTTAATTAATAAAGAAACACCTAGGGATTTTATAACTAAAACATTGTGTTAGATTAGCGCCTAGTTC